CAACATGCTAGTGCAAGCTTATAACCTAATGGCTCATGCTTTCCTTCTCTTCGTCTTATTCCCTTACATTATATCCACAAATATTCATGCCTGCAAACAAACTAAATGCAGGTCCCTTCTGTCCTTTGCCTCCACTCTCTCTTCTCCTCCTTTAAATTGGACATCCATTGATTGCTGTCGTTGGAAGGGAATCACTTGTGATCAAGATGGTTGGGTCACTTGTTTGCTCTTACCTTCCAAAGGGCTTAAAGGAGGTATCTCTCCCTCTTTACTTGGAAATCTCACATATCTCACCCACTTGAACCTTTCCCACAATTCCCTATATGGTTCACTTGAAACTCAGTTCTTCTTGTCTTTGAATCAACTTGAGATCCTTGATTTGAGCTATAACCGTCTTTCTGGAGAGCTGCCACTTTCTCTACCATCCAGCAATATCCAAATAGTTGATTTGTCAAGCAATCTCTTCTTTGGTGCAATTCCATCTTCATTCTTCCAACAAGCTAGCAACTTGACTAGTTTCAATGTCAGCAACAATACCTTCACCGAGTATGTTCCGTCCTCTATTTGTCTCCATCTTTCTCCCTCCCTTAGGCTATTGGATTTTTCTTCCAATGTATTCAGTGGCAACCTTGCTCCTGGGCTAGGGAAGTGTTCTAAACTGCAGGTTTTTCGTGCTGGTCATAATAACCTCTCAGGATTATTTCCAGAAGATATCTATAATGTTACCAAACTTGAAGAAATTGCATTACCTCTCAATTCACTACATGGAGCCATTAGTGATAAAATTGTCAACCTCACCAACCTTGCCATCCTTGACCTTTCCTCTAATCATTTTGGCGTGGAGCTTCCTCTCAATTTGGGGAAGCTCTCCAAGTTGAAGTTTGTGACCTTTGATTTCAACACTTTAGAAGGTGCTTTGCCCCCATCTTTGATGAATTGCACAAACCTTGTAGAATTCCGTTTGGGAGACAACAACTTGGAAGGAGATATCTCCATGCTTGATTTCTCAAGATTGAGTCAACTTATTAAACTTGACCTAAGGATGAATAACTTCACTGGTACGGTTCCAGTAAGCCTTTACTCATGTAGGTCCCTAAAAGCCATTCGATTGGCTGGAAATCATCTAGAGGGACAAATACGAGTTGAGATTCTTTCATTGAAATCCTTGTCCTTCCTCTCGCTTGGTTATAACCGATTCACCAACCTCACAGGGGCAATGAAGATATTGATGAGTTGCAAAAGTCTTCACGCACTCCTGCTTGGTGGTGCCTTTGATGGTGAGGGAATGCCATCTGATGATGACATGGTTGATTTTGACGGATTCCAAAATCTTCGGTTATTGTCTTTGGCTA